TGTTTGTACAGTGTAATACAGAAGTGATTGAAATGTTCCTTATTTTTAGAATGAAAATAGTTGGTGCCAGCTGGCAAGATGTTACCTCAGTCCCCAGTAGGAGAATTTTGTCTGTCTTGGACACCTGCACTACTGTCAGTTCAAAATAAATGAAAGCAAACATATCCGTATGCATTCGTTTTTTTTTTCTTCCTGCTGTACCAAACTCACACTGAATCGTGACTCCTAAACCACCCACTTCCTACTATCCCACATTCTTAGTTAGTCAAAGAAATGGGTATCAATGTTGGATGAACTGACAGCGGTCAATATTACCATGGCATTAGGGGGAGAGCTTCAGGGGGAGATAGTGGTGTGGATGGGGGCAGAGGGGGTGGAAGAAAAGGAGAGAGAGAATAGAAACAGTGTGCACTGAGTTTTCCGATGAGAAAAATCTCCATGTCAGTTAATGAGGCTGAATTTGCACACCAAGCAGTAAATTAACGTTTGCCATAGTGTGCTGCACGAGGAACACATCCAGACCAGTCAATAACAGCCTGGCGGTAAAGCGCTCTGGCACACGCACACATCCCTACACACACACTGGTAAAAGGAGACTGATTATTTTCCGGCTGGTCATGCTCTAATGCTGCCCTATATGAAAACAAATTCTGACATTTTAGACTGGTGAGACACATTTTCAGACTTTTGAATTGTAGTAAACTGCTTGATGATGCGTGACATTAACTCTGGACATTGAGAATGAGAATAAGGGCAAATATACATCTTTATTAATTTTCTTGGCTTTTGATTTTACAGTGGCCGGGAGGACACATTAGTTAGCGGCCGACTACAGTGCCTGAAAGATGTTGGCAGTGACACTGACATGTAAAGTGAGTCAGCTTGGCTGACAGCAGCATGTTGGGGATTCCAGACAGAAAGCCTTTTAATCGTTCTCGAATCCTGGATATGCGGACATTTGACAGGCTTTTAGGGAGAAGGACTACAGAATGTGTATGGAGTCTCTTGACATAGGGTTATTGGTTTCAGTACTCTGCTTATGTGCTGAACTACTTGTCTGGATAGACAGTATACTGTTTATTGGCTTAACTGGGCTTCGTCTTTGCAGAACAAACTAGTAGCTAACAAGATAGAGTCAGTCCTTTAATGTAATCCAAACTTTCCGATGACTCAAGGATTAGCAATGGACACTTGACACAATGCTCATATTCAGCGGGCTACATTGTGAGAACTTGCACTCATGGTACTGCAGACTGTGGAGGCATTAGTACCACACACCATAATTCAGTGGTGAGAAACAGAATTTCTGCAGAAGTGCCACATTTGTGTATCACATGCTAATCACAGAGGTGGCCAGGGTGGCTTGCCATCTGCCGCTGCATACAAAGCACATGACTGGACACCAGAGCTAGAGGTTTACATCCTGGGTCCTGCATATGGTTACATTTAGACCAGTGGTTCCCAACTGGTGGGTCACAATCCAGAAGTGAGTTGCGGATCCAATCTGAACGGGCCGCAAGTGATTTGCAAAGGTGTCAAGTTTGTAAGAAACACACTTTATTTTCAAGTACAGTAAACCTCCAGTACAGAGCTTTTATTTTGAAGTGCCTTTTCCTAATGTAGAGTGAATAACTAATGGACAACTACTTGAGAGCTACTTACAGAGAGAGAAAAATAGCTCGATGACATGGTCCAACATAAGTATGATTCTGAATATATTAAACTGTGTGGACCTTGAACTAATGACTAAGGAGAAATCTGGACCCCATGGCTGGACCAGTTTAGACAGCATCTTAACCAAGTACTATGATTGCCTTAACATAGCCATAAAATAGTTCAATCATGCTTTAGTTGCTGCGAGTGGGTGTCTTGTCAGAGCAGATTGTGTAGGAAAACAAATAAAATATGTCGTCAGTGAACATTTTACTGATATCTTCAATATCAAGATGTGGTGTCCGCCCGGTCAGGTATGTGTTTACGTTGTAGCTCCTCCGGCAGCTTGTCTGTGACAGCAGCTTGATGAGAGTGGTATTGCAGCTGCAGCAGAAAGTGGAGTAAGTGATCCGTTGGTTGCCCGGAAGGCTATATCCATTTGTTAGAGAGGGCAGATGATCCAGGATGAGAAACAGGAGCACAAAAACCCACAAAGTCCTTGTGCAGTCCATACTTTGGGGCTGTTTTCGCTGATACTAGCTGGCTAGTTAGTGTTAGCTTGCTAGTCCCGGTATGTGAGAGGTAGTGACAACATCCGCACAACCACGCCACAAAAGTACTCCAGACAGTCAGTCAATATACAATATAGTCGAAGCACATTACTCTCACAACTTACAACTCGCGTGACAACGAAAAGAAAGCAAAGAAGCTACTCTCTGCACCAACCGGTCAACCGCATGAGCAGTGACCCGCCAGCATCCAAAAACCTTTGTGGCGCCCACTAGCTCACCTAGTAGAACAGGTGCCCCATGTACAAAGGCTGTGTCATTGCTGCAGTGGTTGCAGGTTCGATTTCAACCCATGGCCCTTTGCTGCACGTCCCCTTACTCTCACTATTCCTTTCACGCTATAGTTGTCCTATTAAATGAGGGCAACCCCCCCCCCCCCAAAATATCTTGATCAACAATGTTCCTTCATCATGCTGATAAAAAACAAAACAAAAAACATCATCTCTCCAACATTACGTTTCATTCACAATATCTTTGCTGCTGCAAATTTCCAAGAGACAAAGTTTGAATCATTTACAAAAATACCAAAGGTGCAAGTTCAGCAATGTTTTGATCATTGTTCCCTCATGACTTCTACAGGCTTGGTCCTGACCTTTAAATCTGCCTTCTCAATGTCATGGCATCACGACATGAAACAGTGGTTTCTTGGTTGAAAAAGCAATCAGTTCAATGAGCACCGCATGGGGACTAATGACTAGCCAATCAGCGCCATAGGAGGGAATTAAGCCTTTCTCTAGCTGTTGTCAAGAGGAGTCAAGTGGTGCACTGGTAACACTGATGAGTAAAAAAAACAATGGCAGCCACTATAGACCTGATAGAGGCTTCTATAGAGCCTGTTTTAAATCGTAGTTTATTTTTAAGCCACTCCACAAACCGGCCAAAGCAGTGTGTTGACATGACCATGAATCACTGCAACTTAACATGTACATTTTCACACATTGTATTGGAGATGTAAATATTAACACATTATTACACATTATTTACACAGAGACATGTAATCAGGTCAACAAAAATGACACACTAAGCATTTTCATTAACTGTGCTCCTTCTCTGCTTCTACCATGAAAAATTAAATGTGGGGAAAAACAAGACATGAAAACAAGGAAATGGTTAATGAGACAGAATAAAGGAGAAAGACAAGGAGTGAGAAGGGAGAGAAAGAAAAAGACAGGAGAGGAAGATGGCAGGATGCAGAGAGACAGATACTGCGAAGAGCAGGGATAAGCAAAGAGACAGAAAGATAGCTGACGGAGAAAAGTGCCATCTGAGGGCATGGAGAAAGAACAAACAGTTGCTTCACTTTCCCTCCTTCCATCTAGAGTTTAAAATTGAATTAGCGATGAAGTATTTATACAAGTGCAGTGTGCATTTTCCAACTCAATGCCTCTGTACAGTAGACAGCAGACAAGGATAGTGCAGGGAGACATACAGCACTGTTGATTGGTTTCTTTTCTCTGTCCTTGACATTCATGTCAGTGACATAATGACAAAGTCACGACCAGAAACACCCAACAACAGATCATACCCACTCGGGGAGGAGAAAAATAGAATTACAGTGAAGGAGGAAAAAGTAGCATATGGATTGATGAGGATTTAGAGTCGACTGAGGAGAAACACTCAGTTTGAGTTTGCTTCTGGCTGTCACCTCTCGCTGTCGTGTTCCCTGCCCGGCTGCCATCAATGAGTGCTGATGCAAGCTCTCTCGGATCAGAGGGTGTGAAGTGATACCAGTGAATGAATGGCAGCTGGTTTTGGCAGAGATGTTTGGAAACCGCTTTTGTTTCAGTAGATTCACAACTAGAAAACCAATACTGTTTACAGTACGTATTCCTCTTTAACCGAATTATGATGATTTTATCAGGATGTGTGTATGTGTGTGTGTGTGCGTGCCCTATCCACCAGCATAGATTGCTTACTGAGTGATGAGCCTCAAGAGAGAGGAGCCATTATATCTGCCATCAGGCAGCAATCCCAGTGACACATGACACCCTTCTCATCGTGCAGATATACACACATGCACACACAAACACACACACACACACATGCACACACACACAAAACCAATTAAACCACCTACACACGCGCATGCCTCAATGGGTGAAATAAAGGTGACTCTACTTGTCAAAGAACACTTACTTCCAGTGCATCAAGTAATTACCATTTTTTTCAATCACACCTTGCTTTCTTATCCCCAAATGTCGTATTAACTGCTTCATGGGTGACGTCATGAATCAACTTCTGAGCATCCCCTCATTACCTTTAACGAAAAGGTAGTAATCTAATATGTCGCCGCCAACTAAAGAATGTGGTGGTCCTTAACAGCTGGCCTTTTAAACCCATAGCCAGGGGTTAAGAAGCTAAAGCCTGGTGTGTTAATAATATGCATGATTAAAATGTAATATGTTAACACAGGAATTTTCTAAAAGGTCACTGAAAATTGTTGGCTAGAAATCTTCAAAGACGTAGATGGCATGGGTGTGTCCAATCCAAGGTTGTACTTTTTATAAGAGTGAGCACTATCTGAGTAAAATGTGTCAATATTTGTAATTGTGATGACTGAAAATCCTCATTTCAGTAGCTGTATTCAATCCCTTATTCTTGTGATCTAAAATGATATGACGCTAAATTCTGAGGATGTTCTGTAAATAGTTTTCTAATGGATAATAAATAGACCCCTTCACGGCCAACGTCATCAAATAGTTGCGCGCGCACTTTGGCAACGGAAGTGGTGTTGTTCCCCAGCGTTCCCCAGCTGTTCTGACCGACACAGACGAGGTAGCAAGCATTTAAAAGTGGATAAAAACTGTTTCCAGCATCAAAATGTCTGGTTGTTGCGTGTACGGTTGTCAGAATCGATATTCCACCGGCGGACTAAAGTTTTACATGATTTCGACAGGATCACGACCGTTTCAGAGCAACCGGCGGCGTCTGTGGCTGCAAGCGATTAAACGTGTTGACTGGAATGAGGACATAATCAAAAATGCTCGCGTCTGCAGCGCCCACTTTGTATCAGGTAAGGTTATCTATCTACTCTTTGATTTTACTGGAAAGCCTGGTTTACATTAGTGATTGTCTGTACGATGTAGAATAATAATCAAATGCAGCTAAACTTTGATGACTAGCTGGCGTTAGATTTGACTAGTAAACAAACGTGTGTGTGTGTTTTATTTGCAGGTGAGGCATCATTGGACTCTAGTAGTCCTGATTTTGTGCCTTCTGTGTTTGTGTACACAAAACAAAGCCAGAACCCCGAGGCAAAGATGGACAGGTAAGACTAATTAGAGTTGCCCCCCTCTCAGTCGTTTTTTTAGTTTGTTTTCCTCTCTTGCATAAGCTTTGGTGCCTACAGCTGCTGTTTTGTGATATGGATTAGTCTAACTGTAAATTTCTGCTGTTTTTACTGTAGGTACCATAGGAAAAGGAGGAGAGATGACAGACCTAACACTGCAGTAAATCAACCTGCTCATTCTGAAACTCCAGAACAAGAATGCAGTATGGATCATTGTCCTGGTATGAATATATTTAATCTTACAGTTAACTGACCTATTGTCAGGGTTCCCACCGTCATGAAATTCCAGGAGAAGTTATTAAATTAGAATAGTTTTCCAGGCCTTGAAGTGGTTTTGGAATTAACAATGTTTATGAAAAGTTTTTAATACACACTGTTTTGGGGTATTGTTTCTCCCTCGCTTCACCTCCTCCTCCTCTTATTCTTCCCCTCTTTTCCTGTTCTCCTACTCTCCTTGTAATCATACTACAATATAGGCCTACCTATTTTAAAGTACTTAAATAAAGTTATGGGAATGGGGCAAAGTATAATGGAAACATCATGGAAAAGTTTTGAAAATTCATTGGTAAAAATGTGTGAGAACCCTGGATTGTGAACTTGTCTGCATTGGTTGCAGCACATGCTAATTTTTCACTTTTCTATATTAAAGCTGAGGAGGATATCCCAGTTCCAAGGAGAGAGTACGATGATCTGAACCTGAGACACAGTCAACTTCAGGAGGAGTATGTCAACCTGCGACAGGAGTTTGACACACTACGAGCTGAAAATGTAAAGCTGAAAGAGGAGCTGCAAAAATCTACATTTTCCTATACCACTGTTAAGTGCAACATTGGACAATTGATTTTTCTCACAGGACTGACCTCCGTGATCTTTGAGTGGCTGCTTACAAAAATAACGTGCAGCGTACAAAGAATTAGCCAAAAACTTACAGTAGAGGACCACCTATTGGTTATATTGATGAAATTAAGGTTGGGCCTAAGTAATACTGACTTGGCATATAGATTTAAGGTATCAAAAACCACCGTATCAAATATTTTGCGGAGCTGGGTCCTTGCTATGGCCGTGGTCCTCAAGCCACTCATTAAATGGCCAAGTAAGGGGGCAATACTTAAAAATATGCCAAAAATATTCAAGCGCAACTTTAAAAGATGCCGGTGCATAATAGATTGCACTGAAATTTTCATAGCTAGACCTAGTAATCTGACTGCCAGGGCCCAGACATGGTCAAATTATAAACACAACA